ATCAGCAACAGGATTATTCAAGTAAGATTAATTGTAAAATAAGCAATATTTACAAACAATAGTTAAGTCTTGAATGACTGGTAGTGCCTCATAAACTATGAATAAATTCGAACATTGGGATCAGAAACGTCAACAAAGATGCAAATTTCTGCAAGATGCAAGTTGTGTTGCGATGTGTTGAAGCTAGATTATGATGCCAATAAACAAATGAACAAGCCGATGTGCTTATTGGTGACCTGCTCCGCTCATTAAAATCATTTTTTTGAGTTGTCATGGTAAGGATGAGACATACATGTTTTTCAAATGTTTTCACCTAACTTGTGTGCGAGTCTGATCAGCCAATCAAGTTTTGAACAAGCATACAGAGAAGCCGATTGGTTGAAAGACTATGTTCGAGAGCAGACAATACTTATCCTGGACCAACTTTGTGAATGTGCTTTATTAACTAATTTGTTACTGAGTTTAACACTTAGAGAAAACAAAAAACAAAAACTCCCTAGGAAATAAAATCATATTAATGCTATAAACAAACTTTCCTACATTTTCAATTTGAATAATATTATAATAATATTATGTTGTCTAGGTATGTATTATGGCAAATTTGTTTGTTTTCATAATGCAAGATTTTTGACTTTACACAGACAATTTTAAGTTATCCGTACGAATCTTATTTGTAGTCGCTTTAACAGTCTGGCGAAGTTGATTTCATGTTTCATGAATTGTTAGAACAGATTTTTTTAATGTGTCCACCTTCCTGGAGTGCAGATAAAATCAGACACACATACAAAAGTGGTTATAAGAACAAACATAATGGTGCTGATCGCCAAATATCTAAATATAATTTTATCATTACAACTCTTATTCAGAATACCAGATGACATAATGCTCAATTGGGACGATTACAAATCTTCCCGCACATCGTACAATCATACGTATGGGGCAGCTTGTTGTGAAGTTGAAATTGACTGCTTAACTGGCGATCATCAGATAAGACGAGTTGACATTGTTATGGATGTTGGACACAGTATAAACCCTGCACATGACATTGGACAGGTGAGATCATTGAACGTAAAAGGTAATAACAGAAGCGTTACGTCCTCTATTATGTAACAAATGACCATGGAAAACAAATTAATACCACATATTGCAAATGAATTCCAATTACCGAATTCCAATTTATACGTACATGCATGCAGATTGAAGGAGCTTTCATGCAAGGGTATGGTTTATTTGTTATGGAAGAATTACGATATTCACAAAGAGGCGAACTACTGACCAGGGGACCGGGAATGTATAAAATACCATGCGTCAGTGATATACCAAGACAATTCAATGTGCATTTGTTGGAAGGAGCTACCTGTTCAAAGGGTATATATTCGACTAAGGTATTGTATCTATCTTAAACTTTGCATATACAGTGCATAAACACTTTGACTGCGACTTTTCAAAATAAATATACTTCATATACATGTTAATAATTGTATTTGACGAATTGTAGGCTGTTGGAGAACCACCATGTTTACTAGGAGTGTCTGTATTGGTTGCCATTAGACATGCTATATCATCAGCTAGATCAGATGCTGGTCTACATGGCAGTTTCCAGCTAGACTGCCCAGCAACACCAGAAAGAATCAGACTTGCTTGTAGTGACAACTTTCCAAAGGATAGCCAAGAGGTAGTGAAATTATATATATATCATATATTCGTGTTTTGGTCTAAGGGTAATTATAGTTGTGCTTATTATGTGCCTACGCATACCATGCCGTTCTACAGAGCAATCTACCCTTCATATTATCAAGAGTCTCTTCCTAATCACGTTCGTTACATTCAAATTTTGTACCTATTAGACGGTGTATATCGCTTTATTCAAAACGAAGACTACATGTATATAATCCACAGTAATACATCTGAAACAAGTAAACCAAAAACGTTGAAATATCAAATATTATTTATTGCAGATCACTGGTAATAATGACTTCTTCATAAGAGTCTAGATGGATATTGTTCACAGGGGATTTGGGGATACGCTGTATTCAATGAAACTACACGATCTATAGCACCAAACCTTATATAGTAATGTTCATAGTGATCAAATTTCTGTAAAGAACTATTAGCAGAAATCATGCATGCATATCATATTGAGCACGGGTCACTACAGATATAGCATATCGCTTGTATCACCCGCAATGATGAGGCAAAATATAGTAGTTACAATGTATACTGTTGTCGTCGTTAACACTTCTTGAGGCCAAGTAATTGTTGATAAACTTTCATAAATCTGAAAATATTATTACCTCGCGGTGCAGTTTAACTTTAGATTAGCTGGTTCGTATATTGATGATATTGATGAAAATGTGCTCCACTAACTGCAACAGGAGATGTCTGTCTCAGATGTAACCATATAACAAAGTGTAATTGGGTGCAATTAGCTTGTAAGTTCAAATCAAATAAACTTTTATTAAAATTTGCGACCGAAACGATACGTACGTGGTTTAATTTGATAGTCATTTAATTTGAGTTTACACAATAATGGGAGTTCAATTTGTATGCACTATGTAATTGACTGGGAATTTAGTATGTGATAAAGCAACAAAAAAATGCACTTTGTGCAGTCCTTTATTCCACACTAATTACTGCTTGCCAGTGTCACTTAGAGTGAGTAGCTTTGCACCACATGCTCTTTGCAATGGGAAAAACATGTCAAAGCGAATGATGAAATGCAGTTTAACAGCAATTGATATATTAACCTAAATGTTCATTTAATTTGTCCTAATAAGAAATTAGGTTACCACACAAGTTAGGATGTTTTTATCTTACTACAATTATAAATGAAAAGCTAGATATGGGTAATGTACCTGTTTATGTAATGTAATCGTGTGCAAGATGTTATTCGGTGACACACGCAGTTTCGATAAAAATAAAAGTTACTTACTGAGTTTTGCGGTCTTCGCGCAACGTGTGTGATCACATTTTGTGCAAATAAACAATGTATAATTGAAAATTAGTTTGCAATCGCTAGCGTGAGTGAGTATAACAATTTGCCTGCCTGTACCATGTAATCGTCTGCACGGTTTAAAAAATAATTTTACTATGATGGCATCATAATTACGGCTACCCCGAATTTAGCCAGCTGGTTGGCGTATTTCAAATGATCAAATTTTAGTTTCAGGACACTTTTCATTCAACTCCAGGCGTTAACAGAACGCGAGGTTGTTCTTTTATCTTATTTACATCTCTTAATACTGTGAAAAAATAAAACTAATATATAAAATATATGAATTTGGACATATAAGCTTGACAGTATATGAGCCACGTGACGGTTTCTTGCACATACTGGATATGCACACGAAATTAACTGAAGGATTGGCTTCTTTTCATTATTATGAAATGAATAACCTACAGCTATGTTAGTTGTCCTCACTGGGCATCTAGTCTGACCAGTGCCTAGGGTGATCTAATGGTCCAGATCCAAGGTATGTAACAAGACCAAACTTGACTGCATACATTGAATAGGCACGGCAACAAAAACTATCACAGAACGTTATTCCAGAAATGACATCCGAGACCTGATTTTGTCGACCAAATCTTGGAGTGTTACAATCGTTGATTTAAATTTATCATAGAAT